CACTAAAACATGCAAAAACTAGTTAAACAGTTTCATATAGGATTGAATATTTTGGATTCATCGTTCAAAAACCTGTTAATCAGGAATATTGTAATTAATATTGACAGCAAAATTTACACTAATAAAAAGCTGAGGATGAGAGCTGTACGTTTCTGAAACTATCTTTTTCGATTATATGAAAGCGATGGTGTTATGAGTGAAGGAATTTTCTGGTTCGCAGTCACCTAGTCAGCGGTCTACTGTTTTTTTATGATTTTGTATGTTTTCTTTTCTTTTTCAATAAAACTTACATGACTAACACTTCTCATAATGCGCTAAAACACTGCATGGACAAAAGTTTGGAAAAACGTTGACAAGTTTGAAAATGAAATGGCGGAACATATTCTGCTTTTGGTTTTGCGAGTTTTAATTGAAATGAGAAGCGGAACTTGCGGATTTTATTCGAAAAATAATAATTAAATCTATAAATCTTGATGAGAACTTAATTTTGTTTCGAAAACGTTGAATTATATTTGGACAAAATCATCGTTTTACCACAGGAACCCCAAAGTCACTTCAATATATAACCACAGGTATCCCAAAATGACTCCGGGGACAGGGTTAAGGTTTGGAGGTTCATATGGTTTTTAGACAGCTTGAGTTAATCTTTTGATGCTACAAAGATTCTCCTAACTCCCCCTACCTAGGGATAAGATATGACTAGTTCCTTATGTTGCATATAAAACAAATACCGAAATACACCTAATAAACTGGTTGGAAAGTGACAAACCTGAAGTTGTTTTGTAAACATAACGTACCTGTCATCAAGGAGTTGAATCCAGCCCGATTCTTGACTTATTCCGTGTTCCATCGTCGTTACTTTGCTCGATCAAATCATCAACTTGGAGGACAACATATGCACAAATATTTCTCAAGATACAGTTCAGCGCTCAACGAATAAATTTACTTACCAGTGCCTTTTATCTTATTGGACTATTCAACAATGAGACATGTATCTTAAGAAACGCCTATTACGCGCTCCAGAAATGGAATGTAAAACCAGAGTTCGAGTTGAAAAGAATGCCTTTTGAGCATTGTTATTTTGTGCCGAAAAAATCCTTTCTGTAAATGTTATCACTCAATATAATAGAGTGCTTTTGCTTGGACCGTCAAAACAATTGTTAACATACAAAGTATACACTAATTCCATCGTTTTCTTTTGTTTTACTTTGACTGTAATTAATATTTTTGTTTCACGGGCCAAGTAAATTCACTCCGGGGCTGGGGTGACCAGGGCCACCAGTCCAGTTTTTTTTATAAAGTTAAAACAATCGCCCCCTCCAACCCCCCTCTCCCTATAGATATCCAGGCCTTGGTACAGGCGCTACACTCATCCTCGGCATTAGTCGGTGTTTTCGCACTTTTGTTGATTCTGGACCGACAAAGGAGCGAAAACTACGACTTTTAGTCTAGATACGGGCCTGCTCTAACATTGAATACAAACACCAAAAAATTACACAATAAAATACAACTTTATTTAAGTAATGGAAGACTATTGCTACCAAATGCAATGGCAATTTTTTGTCATCGAGGTCCAGTTTTCAAGTGAACCCCGGAGGTGTTTCATCGAGTAAATACGGTTTGTATTTTTTATTATAGTAATGTTTTTGAAAATATTGCCGTTACGCGCGCGACACACAGACTGTACACATTGTATCTAGCCAACTACTCCTCTTCCATCAAAATATGACAAGTACGATGCACTATACAGGATAAATCTAACGCACGTATTGGGTAAAATATATCTATGGACAGTGCACACGATGTATCTAGAGAGAAAATCATGTATAAGCTGTACCGTGACCGTGTCGCGACCGAGCAGTGCTATTGCGCGCGGTCGTTGGCTTACAGAATGTCGTCAATCTCAAACTGCTTTTTATGTGCGCAATCTCGCACAAGTAAAAGCACACCAAATTATTATACCACAAACATTCTGCGCATTAAGAGCAAATGCATTACAGACTACAAAACGATTCTGCACAGGATATCTTCTAGTTGTACTCGTACTCTAATTATATCTGATACGACGTGTGTTGTTCCTCTATCAAAAAATGAACATACTGTGAATCTATAAATGCACAGGGTATTAAATACTTACTGTACACTGGGCATTGGAGTTCACAGGGTATTTGATACTCACTGTACCCTGCACAACTAACATATCGAGTACACTGTACACCTAACACACCTGGTGTGCGCAGTGTATCTAATACCCGTAGAGTGCACAGGGTATTAAATACTCGCTGTATCCTGCTCATCTAACATATCAAATACACTGTACACCTAACACACTTGGTGTGCGCAGTGTATCTAATACATGTAGAGTGCACAGGGTATTCAATACTCACTGTACCCTGCTCATCTAACATATCAAATACACTGTACATCATATACTAACAATATACCCTGTGCATCTAACACAACTGGTGTGCGCAGTGTGTTTAATACATGTATAGTGTATGGGGTATTTAATACTCACTGCATCCTGCACATCTAACATATAAAATACACTGTGCATCATATACTAACAATATATCATTTACATAGAACTACCCCAAACTACCTCAAAATCCACCTTACCCTTCAAATGGCACAAGGAACTGTGAAGAGGAACAAATGGCCATTTCAAGATTGATAAAAAAAACTGGGCCGGGTTGGCATTGTAGTGCATTGTGGGACTTTTAAGGGTACATTGTTCCATGACATCTATTTTGTCCCTAAAACAGTCTCAATGCACTGCAATATCATCTCCACCCCAATTTTTCTCCTCAATCTGCGAATGCCAAATATTCTTACCTTTCCACACAGGACCTGAATGTCTGATTACCAAGGCAGGATTCCAGCAATTTAAATAATTCTTCAGTTGGTAGTTTCTTACAGTCACACTTGTAAACCCTCTAACTGATGTTACCTACGGATATCAAACGTAAATATTTAAGATACCTGATCCAATAGTGACACCATACACTGGACAACGTAAGTAATGACCGTTGGCAACCCAAAATGAACATCTTACTAAAGTCTTTGCGAGCTCTCGCACAAAATCTCACAGGTTTTTGTAGGACATTGTCAGGATCTTGTTAATACTAACGATTCACTCATGATTGTTAGCTGCATGACGGCTGCTAATTAATAATATGCAGTCCGTAAAGTCCTCCACTGGTCTTAAAAAATGTAAAGCACATTGAGAGAAACATATTAAATGCGGCATACAAGAACTCTCCAATATTCATTATGCACACAACTTGATGATATGTTGATTAATTTTAGAAATGGAAGAAAACCGGAGAGCCCGGTGCCGCAGGGACAGAAGCCCTCGTTGCACGGTTTAAGAAAATAGTTTCTTATAACACATTTAAGTTCGATCGCAATATGATAATCAAGCTCCTAACATTTGAAAATATATATATATCAAACAAACTCAGTTCAGTCGTTTCAGTCTATTCAGTCGTTTCGGTTTGAACTACACAGCGCGGTGAGAGCGCCGCACACGACAGAAGCAGGCACTTTCGTGGTATAAGTGTCCGTCAAGTGCAGCAACTTGGTGGCATCGCAGTGTCAACCTTAGCTACTGATTAAGATATACTCGCAACGCTTACAGCATTTGCGCAACCTAGCTATATCTCAAAGTATTCGGAGTCTTTGATGATAGCTTTCGTGATACCGCGCGCGCCACGCCAAGTAAGATATCGGCGCGACTTGCAATGGAAGGTCATTTATCAGCGATGAAATCAGCATCGAAAGGAAACCGCAGAAAGACACCTAAAAGAAAATAAGTGACACAAAAAAGAAGTGAAACAACACTATCAAGCAGCTTGTCGCACTTAAAATCGGCAAGTCTTTTAGTCCGCCAAACAATCAGCTGATTGTAAAAGTGTGATCCTTTTCTACCAATCAGCTCTTAGATTGACAAGTTTGGCAAGTGACCGTGGTCGGACAACAAATCACGCCACTTTTTGCATATTAAATGAGAACATTAAAAAACAAAATATTTCATTTAAAAATTACAATTAGCTCAATATCTACCCCACACATTGGAAATTATAGGAAATAAATATTTTATAAGGTTTTTTTTTGCTAGGAATAATTAAATTAACCTTTGTAGTAAATCTGAAAAAGAGAGTAGTAATTTTTTCAGTGATGTACCAGGCTCCATGGCGATTGTAACACGGCTTGTGATTGGCTGGTTTCCTGACTATGGAAGTCGTGCCAAAACCACCAGATGTTTGGCGTGTGATGATTGGTCAATGCTAGATCATGCGATCCAACATACGAGAAAAACACACATCGCCATTTCAACCTGAACTCGAATGTTCAACACCGGAAAACTAGTATTTTAAGCCGAGGTTAACATTTCAAATCATTCTACATGCATTGCTTTCTATGTGGGGAGCAGACTAGATCTGCTGGACAATTTCTTTTTCACATGTATCGCAAGATCGCCCCGAAGACAGTGAACACTGTCGTGCGAGGAATCGTCTTGTTTCTTATCGGAGGATTCCTTGCGATGGTTCTCTTCGCTCTTTCTATTTTACCCGAAGCGAGAAAAAGACAATGGGGAGCTTTCCCCGTAGAAATAATCAAACGTGTTTACTCTACGTTTTGGTGGATTCCACCTTCTTGTGGAACAATGGCTGCTTGTATTGGTTTAGTTTGTCCTGGTCTTGATTCCTGGCTTGGTAAGCCTCATAATTTTCAGCGTGAATGGTCAAGTGTTGCTCGATGCGTTACGATGTTTGTAGGAATAAGTCATGGTACTGCAGTATCCTTTTTGTATTATTATCATAGTGAACGTATTTACGATCTACTTGCGTGTAGCTAGCTTTGATTCGGGTTCATGGGGTCCTTCTGTCAAGTGAGACATTTCAACAATGTGTTCAAGATTTTCCTGTATTCAAGTCACCCTTGATATATTTGCATTAAATCCTATAAAAAACAGTTCCTTTACTTTTTGTTTTTCTTAGTATATTTGTAATCTTGGTTTAAATTCTTCTAAAATTTATCGTAATCGATATTTGAAAGTAATCCTTTATTTTGTTTTGCGTACTTCCGGTATTGCGATTCGTTTTTTTGGCAAGGTCAGGTATTTTTACTCTAGATTGAAAAAATGGATAGCATTTTTTTGTGTTCATATTTTTTATATATAAAAAAAGACGTATTTTCTAATTTTGAGTGTGTTGGAAGTATGTATGTAGTATGTAATTAAAACTTTTATTTATTTATTTTTTATTTTCAATTTATTGTATTTTATTTTTCTTTTGGTTGTTATTGCTTCTTCTACGTCTGCCGTGGTTAGATCCCACTGGAATTACTTTTATAATCATAAATTCAAAGTTAAAACCACAGCACATATTTGGTTTACTCCCAGACAGTGTATAGAAGATTAGCTCAACCATTCGCATATCTGAATTCAAAATTTCCAGGAGGTGAAAGCATTTACTGAGTCCCCCCCAGACCAGCCCAAAAGAGAAATGCTTCTAGGCTTGAATGTTTTGTGAATAATATTAGTTTTCCCTTAACCTTGAATTAGAAACTTGATTTCACCAGCAGCAGTCATCTATTTATCTTTGTCGCAATGACATCCTTCTTGTTATGGTGGTTCTTTGATCGCTCCAAAAATGGTCTTGGAATTGCCTTTGTTAGTGCTATAGCAGCATCAGTGGCAGTATTTATACTTATGTATGTTGGAGCTTGCATATACAGGTTAGTTCTCTCCCAGCCAATTTATATGTTTTTCCAATCATGTTTATACAACTCCCTGTTAATTTATATGTTTTCCAATCCATGTTTATACAATTTTCCATTTCCCTTGAATCTTGATTCTGTGACTACCAGAAATATCCTTATCACAGCTATACCACTGTTTTTGTTGCTTCATGTGCTTATCAAGACAAAAATTGAAACGGATAAATTGGCAACAGACTACCATATGTTCATCAAGACAAAAAATGAAACAGATTAATTGGCAACAGACTACCATTCATCCAAATTACTGAACAAGTGTGCATTCCACATGATAATGTGTGTTCATGATCAGCATGGGTGTTGACTAAATCTACCAGACTGTGTCTGGTATCAGCATACATCACCATGTTTTGACATTTTTCATTTTTGCTCTTTAGGTATCGGCAGGTTATAGCAGTTGTCCCAGGGCTATTCTTTTCTGGAGCTGTAACATTTGGTAATATTGGAAGACAGCTTGCTATGGTAAGGTTAAGATGGTTATCTTGTAAAATTTCCTGCCCTGCTATCTATTCTACATACATTTATTACTTGAAACTAGATGTAACTAGATGTTGTCTAGTGCCAGCTGCAGCATTTTAAAGCATGAATGTTAAGGCTTTCACATTTGATATGGGGACTGTTTACAGGTCTACAAAATTTTATGTTCTGATGTGGAAAACTACATGTTTATCCCTTGCTTCATGTTTAAGCAGGGCAGTAGTGCCCACTGCACAGGGGCTTCAGGATGTGCCCTCATAAGTAACACTTTTGCCATGGCTTCGGCCATTTAACTCAAAATACAATTTGGGGACTGTCATACTGAATCAAACATTAGAAAAAGTGTTTATATTGTAGTACATATGTATTTTGGTGGTGGCAATGGCTTTCCTAATACGATAAAACGCCATCTAATTTTAAAAACATCTTGTTTCAGGTTGAAACTGTACCAATAAAACAGAAGGAGCATTTAGAGTAACATATTCTATTCATATTTTAAATGAAAAAAAGTTCAATTTATTTTGAAGGTGCATGTTTACGAATGCCAATTCTTCACAATATCTTACAAAATGACAAGAGTTTGTACAATTTAGTTTTCACAAGTATAGTTGTAAATTTAGATGTAGATATATGGAAAAAAATCCCCCACAATGGGACGTTAACTGCAAACCTCTCAAAAATCTTGCAAAATATAGCATGGAACAGTAAAATATAAGAAAGAATTATATTCAAAATTGTACATTTTTGAAAGAATACGGCATAGTGCAAGTTAATCTTAATATTTGGTAGCATACATAGTCAGCAGCAGAGATATTCTCAAGGTTTATAATCTGGTTTAGGATTTGATCATGTGCCTTAGCTGTGTTTGAAGCAAAAATTTAAGCATTCACTAGCCTTAAGATATTTATTACAATGAATTTACCACAGCTGTTTTTAATTGGRAAAGGGTAATAATATCAATCAGCACATTCACGTATCTGAATATGTTGTTTTATTTGCACAGGCCACTGAAATAGTTATTGTGCATTTTCTTTAAAACTATTACAAGTGACCTTTGTTTTTTTTTTTTTTGCACTGGGGTTTTATGGCTTAAAGTAACAGCTAGTCACTTATCATGATGGCTGACCATTAGTTTTAAGCCAGTCATATCTTGTTTCTGGCTCAACATTACCGGTTAAAATGGCCAGCAAGACAAAGATTTGACTGGAAAAATTGTGGTTGGACATTTTTCTGATGACTGGCTTTAATTATTTTAAGCCCTAGGTTTGACTTAGCTGTTCCTCAGATACAGGGTTTATGAACTGTTTTGAAATTTGTGACTAATTTTGGATGAATGACACTCAAATGCTGGCATTTGATGTGTTGTAAAATACATTTAGTTCAAGTTGAACTCAAGATCATTTTAGGCTTAACTCTATTCATTTAAATATTAAGTTCTTCTAGTGAATAGTTACCAGACCTTCGATCTTTACCTACAATCTTCTGCAGACAGAATAAAATGTTTCACCTAGTATTCTGGAATATGTATACCATCCCCCCTCTCCCCCTGTAGCAATGTTGTCTTGCATACATTTTACCAGCCAACCACTTCAGTGTAGACAACTTCCTCAACCAACATTGATTGGGGGAAAGGGGCACATTATTTTTGCAGAAGATTGTAGCTGTATTAACTTCTAATCAAAGCTACATACCCTTTCATCCACACTCTGGATATTGGCTTGCTGAACTATCAATATAAAATGTTAATCTTAACTTGAGGATTACTGTTATGGTATGGATAATATAAATAAAGATTTGTACATATATACTTCGAACAAAGTATCTGTATCTGTATCTGTAATAGTGTTGTTGTCTCCGGCTGCCTAAACTTACAAATGAATCCACCCTTCATCCACAATTCAGGGCCAAAACCAGGGTCTTGCAGGTGCACAGGAAATGGAACTATGTCTAAAGTAATGGCCATCTTGAGAAGTGGTAAAACATAAGAATTTTCAAAAGCAAAAAAAGATGAATGATCAATCACAATCAAATAACCAACCTAGGATTTGCAGAAACAAAAAAAGACCATCCAATAATGAATGAGCGACAATGGGACGTTTGCATGATGGCTTCTTTTGGCTCCCACTACCAACAAGATGCTTCATGAATTTTCTTTATTTAAATTCGTATTCCCTCATGAGAATAGTAAGACAATAAATTGGTGTTAATTAACCGAACAAAAGAAAGTGTGCAAGGAACTCTGGTAGAGGTCAATGATGCCATCGTGCAAATGTCCTATTAAAGTGATACAAGCTGCAGATGGGGAAAAAAAGGATCTCAGCAGACCTTCAGCTTTTGTGCGGAGGTGCATGTGCACTCCAACTGGTTATGGCCCTGCAATTTCATTACGCACTGGTATCTACCTCTTGTCTGAGCACTCTAATCAATCCATTTTCAGCTGTCAGGAAACAAACTTATTCACAAGTGGGAAGAAACCATTTTACCAATAATCCATCTTTACTGCTCTATAATAAAGTCTGGGATTCTGACTTACTAAGGTTTTTCATTAATCACCTCACTAGTAGCCATCTGACTTTCTCCTGTGCACTTGAGGATTTCCAATCAAGCCTGCAAATCTTCCTGTAATACACTGTAAGCCCATGAAGCATTGTGTTAAGGATCGTGAAGTGTGCTTCTGAAAGACACTCTGTATTGGACAACTCTTGGCAACATTTATAAAAGATCAACCAATGCCATGCAATATAAAGCAAGTTAACAATGGCAATAATAACTGATAATACTGATGAGCAGCATAACAATATTGAATTATCCACTGGATAAGGATTTATACAACCAGGCCCATTTTCACATTGCTACATACTGCTGTTTTTTCAAGACCACAGACTCATTTGCACAGGCTTAGTCGCATTCATGTCAGCTTTTCACAGATACCATTAAAGTGCCTATTACCCTTCTGACAATATTCWCAGTATTGATTCTACATGAGATAAGATGTAGAATAACCCGAAAAACCTGTGAATACTAATAAGTAGATTTACTCTAACTAGACAAAATTTCGTCACAAATTTTGACAAGCAGCAGTGACACAAATGAAACGCTTAAAAATTTGGAGTATTAAACTCAGTTAAATAAAAAAATCGCGAAAGTAGCAGGCTTGTCGTTTTTCTGCCCTGTCGTAGAAATGAGTCTTTTAAGAGTCATAAAACACAGTAGCAGTGTAAGACAAAGGACTATTGTGTACTTCAACCAGCCAACACATGTTGATTGACTTAAGCTGGCTGTTGGCTGATCATCAGTTGATTGGCAGGTGATCAATGATTGTTAATCAACCATCTTTTGTCAACAGTTGGCCAATGCATGACTGATGATTAGACTGGGAGCAGTCCCATTTCCCCTCCAAACGCAGTAAGAGCAAGTGTTTTGGAATTCCTGCTGATGTGTGTAGATTGGAGCTGAGTAACTGGCAAGTAACTCCAAGGAAATCCCAGAGCACTCACTTTTACTGAGTCCAGAAGGGGAAAGTGGGACCACTCACAGTCTACTGATGATAGTCATGAAAATAATATGGATAACAATGATGATAATATGAAGAAAACCGAATTTCAGGTTCATGTCATTAAAAAAACATTCGCCATTGAGACATAATTCTGTTGCATAATTTACTTGCTTTGATTACAAATAGTTAGATTACAATATTGCAAGTATACAATACGTAGGTCAGCAAGGCTAAGGTATAAAACTGATCCTGTAACTGAAGGAAACAAAGTTTGAATATACTGGGGCCAGTTGTACGAAGCCTAAATAAGTACTATCCACTTGTATAATTAAATCTGGCATGATTTGTATAGGAGTTGTCTACCAGATTATAACCTATGGATTCTATAATTAATTTGCTGGAAAGTGCTTTCATTTGCTGGATAGTGCTTATCCAATGGATAACTTATTCAGGCTGTGTAAAACTACCTTCTGATCTTTAGCAATCCGATTGACAAAACCACAGAATAACTTGATTTGTATATTATCTGGTAATTAGTAATGCTCTTATTTGCAATTGAACATCTACATTTATAATATATAAAGAACTATAGAAGTAAAAGTAAAAAATTAACCTTTTGTAAAACAAAAAGTAAGGTATTCTACAAGTTCTGAAGAAGTGAAAAAGAGCTTCAAGGTATGAGTACCAAGTTTTAAGGAAAAATCTAAAATTGGATCTTAAATATATTTTGAAACAAATTTTCAATAAGAGGAACAGAACTACGTAAGAATCAAAACAAATGGGGTCTCTAAAGTACGTTGATATTTTTTCCAATGAATCTCTCAATAAGAAAAATTGAAATAAACAATATTATAAATTTAAGAACTATTGTGACAATTTGGCTATTCTACTATTTTATCAATGAATTCCAGAAATCTTTTAGCATAATTATCTGGTTTTACTGTGGAAATCTCTGCACCAGCCTGAAAAGAATCGAAATGAAATCATCATCAGTGTATAAAGGTTTCTGCATCAAGCCATGACTTGCGGGGTGTCACAAAACAGCATTACATTCTACAGGTTATGCACAACTGGCTGGCTTTCAAGCTGGATGCATTTGTAAAGCCAAGAGAGGAGAGAGACAAGGGTGAAGAAGTTTTTAGTTGCATTCTATAATCTAAATCCTGCTGCCAGTAAAGGTGTAAAGAACATCTAGCAGGGAAGTAAAGCAGGAATAGTGTCCCTCATGTGCACTGATATTTTCAAATACATGTATTCAAGGATCAACAGATGAATAAGGCCCTGTTACTGGCTGATTTCTATTTTGCAGAAGCAGGATCAGCACTTCCTAAGCACAGTACACATGATGCAACAATGATAGAGTACAAACACTAAGAGTGTGCAATACTTTGCACTATTTAGGACTAAATAGCTCTAATTAAACAAAAGAAAACAACAACATTAGTAATAATTTAGCAGTATTTTAGGTTGCACTTTTAAGTGTTTGTACTCTACTTAAGGCTATTTTGTCTCTAATATGACAACTTGGCATGAAGGAGACAGCATGGTTGAGTGGTCATAGTGTCGGTCTCACAATCCGGTGCTACTGGGTTCGAGTCCYGCTGTGGCCGCTAGCTGAGACTGCATTTGACCCAAATTCTAATTAGTTCAGATTCAGTTTCTCGACTATACTTGTAAATAGCCTACTGGTTTGCCTCCTTGCCAGTTGGGATTCTTAACACACTTTATGTTTCTCTGATTATTTCTTCATTTCAGTTTATTAATTTGTGGACTACACCGTAAGTTAGTGGTCAGGTTCCACGTTAAATAAGGTTAAATTCTTTTTTTTCCAAATCACTTCAAATTCACACAACATGTAATATGACCAAATTAGGTCCTTAGGAACCAACATGATTGGACCTACAGCATACCCCCTTGCATGTGACATACACACAACACTAGTTTATCTGATAGCTAATAAGTGATAAGAATATGTAAGAACAAAAAAGAGCATTGACTGATTGATACAATGAAGGTGATTGGTGTAAACCAACATCGAAATGGATATTACCAGGCAAAATGGGTTAGATCATTTCAGGGTTAGCTAAAAATTATTTGGTCACCCTTTAATGGAGCATTAAAGAAACGTAATACATGTGTAGACCTTCCCCAAGATACGGCCAAATGCACATGTACTATACAAAGACTCAATTTGGATACATATTATCAGGCATAGAAGTATCATTACCATTTCACACTTTCCATGACATAGATTTTATTGGATGATTAAACAATAACAACAATAACACAAAGTGCATTAGCAAGCTGGCACCTTGGAGTCTTTGGGTGCTTTTTGATTTTAGTCAAACCATTAAGATAAGAGCAGCCAGTTTTCAGATCTTAGAAATAGACGATTAATGCAGCCTGAACCATTATTATTATTATTTATTATTTATTATTCATTTATTGTTTACAGGGTCCCTCTGGATATCAGCCAGTTAGCGGAATGGGCCACCCTGTTTTAATAAAGTCTTTGATTGATTGATTGATGTTTCTTTCTTTTTTTTCCTAATAGTAGAGTGATTACAAAGGTGTGACCAACACAGATTTTAGCTAACCCTAAAATGATCTATTGGATTTTGCTACATTAAAATGATAGCTTCAATAAAAACAAGTACCAAACCAAAATAGTAATTCTAAGTATTTGTATTAATGTTGTTGAATATTTTCTTTATGATTCTGTTGATTTACGACAGCTTTATGAAATAAAGATCATGAGATGAGAGTATGTTTATTGCTCAGAGTATGTTTATAAATAAGAAAACAAACATGCAACAAAGATGGTTTTAAAATGCTATGTTAACGTTAGAATTGTTAAGTAAGTATTTAGTATGATTTTAATAGTCTGGGTTAAGATATTTAAATGATGTATGGATGGTTTAAGGCCAAGCGTTTAAGGGATGTTTTACCCTATGTTGGTTTGCAGACCAATTGCCTTCATTGTTAGTTAGTGAGACTCTTCTCCAAGTCTTGGAGGCTGAAATCTAAAGTACATAAAAATAATGGACACCAGCTTACAGGTACTTTGACACATACTGCAACAACGTTCATGTGATTAGTGTTAGAACATCTATCTATTTTTAATGGTATCTTCTTGGGGTGTGCAATACTAACATAAAGGGTGCAATACTTACACCTCCCTCTAATGGGCTAGGAGGGTTTTTCCCATTGCTTCAGTTTTTTTCCCTTTACAAAAAACTACAGCCTACACCTAGATTCCAATATGATTGCTGAATAAAAATCACAAACACTGAGTAACAGAGGCCATGGAGGGGGTGGAGCATAGGGGGTTACAGTCCCCCCCCCCCCCCCCCCCCCCCCCCCCCCCCCTTTTCCCATACTAGTTTCTTACTAGTTTCTTATATTTTCCAATCTTAGCCCCCCCACTTTTTAGGATACTCCACTGCCCCTG